CCCCTCCCAATCCCTGTGTATTATTCCTGTATTTAAATGTTTTGTTTATACAAATTCTACCTATACATAGTATTATTTATTTATTTTTCCAAGTATCCCCTTCTCCCTTCCTTGGTCCCTCACCCCCCATCTTCCACACCAGTTGGGATGTGGTGGGAGTCAGTAGTGTGTATTGCATTCTTCTCAAGTATCCTCTCTCTCTCTCTCTCTCTCTCTCTCTTTCTCTCTCTTGCTCTCCTTTTTTTTTTTTTTTTTTTTTTTTTTTTTTTACAATATGTTGAACACCTACAGAAAAAACTCCTTGAGGATGAGCGGAAAGAGGTGACGGCCTTGATAGAGGCTGAGCAGGAGGAGGTAATGAATGACGGTGTGATGTTGTGTCCTGTGTGGTAAAAGAAAGGGAAGAGTTAGAGAGGGTGACGAGCATGTTTTTTTTATTTTTTATTATTGTTATTACTGGTGGTGTATATTTACTTTTACGTTTTTTGTATATCGTTAATACTTCATTAATTCTGTTATTTATTTTTAGTTATTGTTATCTCACTGGTTTACTAATTTAGTAAGTTCTGTTTTTTTTTTGTTTTGTTTCATTATTATTAGTGTTAGTTATTTTTTTGGAAGAGAGAATGTGAGTGCATTCAGAAATAGTTTAAACATCTTAGAAAGGTTGGTTTAAGAAAAAAAGTGTCTGAAAGGCTTTCCTTAATGAAAGTTGCTAGATAATGGTATTATTTTTTTTATATGAATTTATAATAGGGAACTAACATAACTTTAGACTTGCTGACTTGAGAATAGACTGGTAATGGTTCTGAATAAGATGTTATGGTAATTTGTCATTTTATTTTATGATAATTGGAAATGGTAGTTGTTAAGAGTCCAGTGATATCAGAATATTTATAACCATTACTAGCTTTGTGATTACAGTATACAAGGATAACAACATCTCAAACACTAAACTTTAATTATTTGTATTTTTTTATAACAATTTAGTCATATTTTTAGTATGTGGGTATAAGGGGATGCCTTTTAAGTATTGTCTTTTCCTTTTCCTAAATGCTTATATGCTCAACACTTCTTACTTGACTGAAGATGCTTAAAGAAATATATATTATATATTTATATTTCCTATAACTGACAACTCTTCCTTAATCTTTTCCTCTCTCCCTCCTCAAGAAACACCATTTTCTTTAATGGTTTGGAGTTCATTGTCTCCCGACGGTATCTTTCACATTTATTGTTATTGTTTTTTTGTTTTTTTTATGAACCTTCCACTTATGGCTCCACATGCTAACCTTGATTTGAAAGAGGCAAAGAAACAGCCTCAGCTTTTTTTTCCCCAGATTGCAGGTTCTTGAAGCATATGATAGTCAAAAGGGGCTGTTGAAAACATTCCCCAAAGTCAAAAGCACTTTTTTTGCATGCAGAAAACCGCGTGTTACAAGACCTATCCTAACCTTGCATTGTGAACTTTGCCCTCATGATGATATGGCTTATGGGCTTCAGAAAGAGAATTGGGATATAAGTTTGATATTTGTTTGATTTCATTTAGAATTATCAGGTCGATAATTATTCACAAAATGAGGTAGCGGGAAAAGTGACAGTTGATAACCTCTGTTGGTCATCTTTTTCAATCCTCCTCATTCGTGGCTTCCAGCTTACTAACATAACTAAAATAACCCAGTGAATAGTTGAGAAGCTAGAACCATTTTATAGAGCCATATTTAATTATTATCATTGCTGTTGCTAATATTAATTATTATTTAAAATTTGTTTTTCAATCCTCATTGTTATTATTATTATAATTATTGTTATTATTATTGTTAGTTTTGTTTATATATTTTTTGTTTTAATTATTGTTGTTATATCATGATCATCATAATTATCATGAGCATCATCATTATTATCATCAGTCTTCTATGATGATGATGATAATCATCATTGTGATAATTATCACCCTCATGATGATCATTGTCATTATTATCATCAGTCTTCTATGATGATGATGATAATCATCATTGTGATAATTATCACCATCATGATGATCATTGTCATTATTATCATCAGTCTTCTATGATGATGACGATAATCATCATCATTGGCATGATGATCATCATTGTCATAATGATCACATTGTCATGATCATCATCATTGTGATCATCTTTGTCATGATGATCACCTTCATGATCATCACCACAGTTGTGATCATCACTGTCATCATGATCATCACCATCATGATGATAATCATTATCTGTATCACATCATCATCATCTGTATCACATCATCATCATCTGTATCACATCATCATCTGTATCACATCATCATCTGTATCACATCATCATCATCTGTATCACAACAACATCAACATCATCATCATCATCATCATCATCATCATCATCATCATCATCATCATCATCATCATCATCATCATCATCATCATCATCATCATCATCATCATCATCATCATCATCATCATCATCATCATCATCATCATCATCATCAT